ATGATAAAAGCATAGTGTGGTGTTGTAAAACTATATCCCTAAGTCTATGCTGCATGTCATCCTGCTTTTCAGATAAACAACAGGTTAGAAAAAAGTGATCTGTAAATTTAACCTGTGTGCCTCTTGCTATATTTATTTAAGGAGTTATCCATGTGTATGCAGCATGTTTGAGAAACTAGTTGTTCACATAAAGGGCTTGCTGATATGGAAAGCAGCTTCAAAACTTGCAGATGGCATATGGGGGTGAAGCTGAGCTGTGGTTTTAAAAAATGTTTTCCTTTTGGCAATTTCTTTCAGCCAAGCTTGTAAATGGCTACTTGTTCCATTGCGTAGTCACAAAAAGTACAAGGGTGGACTCTTTTCTTTTTTATTTCTTCCCGGCTTTCAAATGATGACGTAGTAGAGTGCAATTATGTTAAATATTCCTATTCCGTAGTAAATTAATCTTAAAGCTAACGTGGGAAGTCGCTCTTAAAACCAAGGACTTCTCTGGGAGAAGAGGGAGTCCATGCCTGTATAGCAGTGTTTCTCAACCTTGACAATTTTAAGGCATGTGGTCTTCAACTTCAATTCCATGCTGGCTGTGGAATTCTGGGAGTTGAAGTCCACATGCCTTAAAATTGTCAAGGTTGAGAAACACTGCTGTATAGTCAGTGATGACTGAAGAACAGGGCAATAATGGCCAAGAAGAGCCCAGATCAAATCCAGCCCTGATTCCTTCAAATATGTTGGACTATGATTACCATGAAGCTTAGGAGAGAGGAATGCTGGCAGGGAATTCTGGGAATTATTTATCTATCTTCTGGAAAACTCCAGATTGAAGTGGAGTCACTTAGCTATAAAAGCAATCCACAGAAGCTTCCCTTTTACTACCCTATGGGGTTTTTTTAATTTTATTTTCTTAACTAGTTTTCCATTGATCATCTGCAGATGCTGCTTTACACGCACTTGAGAAGATCATTGAGGGGACTGGCAGAACAATCAGAATTGCCAACTTTTAATTTGTTTTTTTTAAAAAAAAAACAAAAAACAAAAACAAAATAAAACCCTATTCTTGCACCCCAGTCAAGAAACTGCCACAGAGCCATTAGTAAACAGCCCAACCAAGAAGCCTTAAGATCACCCCCACCTAGACAGGCAAGACCCCAGAATATAAATCGACAGCAAACAGCACTTCTTACTAGCACTGATGATGTTACCTAATTAGGGTAACAAAATTTCTGCAAGAAAACAAGCAAGCTCACAGAGCACCAAGGACCCCTCATTTCAACCCTGAGCTACAAATATTCTCCTTCATTGGTACTATTCTTATTTTTATGCCTTTAACGCCAGGAAAGCTGTCCTGGAGAAATGTGCAGCTGCGTGGCAAACCTCACAAACTTCTATGGCAAAAGACAGTAGCTGTGCAAAACAAAATCCAAACCATTGTCTGTGAAGGGAGGGTTAATTTTTCAATGCAGTCTTATAACTTTAGCACTGCCAAAGTAGATGCCACTGACAGAGCAAGGTTACCTTTCTGTTCCCCCAGCAATTTGGGTCTGCTGGAAAAAGCAGCTGTCCATTGGCTGCTTTTTGGCCTCCCTCCCTCCCCATCCTGTTGCTGAGGCAACTGTGTGAGCAAGGAAATTCCCCACACCATGTGACTTTGGGCTTCCCCCAGGCTGGTTGCCTGAACTGCAGCCACACTCTATTTATGGAGCAGAGCATTCATGCTTTTGTGCACAGCTCAAAAAAGAAAAGAAAAGAAAAAGCCCATAATATGTCCACACAGGGGACTGTTTTAGGTACTTGTGAGGCTGACCACCTTTCCTGTCTCCTCTCCTTCTTTCCAGCAACTGCAAGTACGGCCTCTAGGCTCCTTCCACTTGCTTCTATGGAAATCCCCCTTTTTTTACATGCCTTGGGACACCAAAGGGCTCAAAAATGTACAGTAAAAATGAATCTTTGATTTTAAATACCCGCTTGCAAGTGCATCGTGATCTTTGCAAAGTTGGTTAACTTCTGAGAAAAATGTTACATGAACCAAATTAATATTAGTGTCCTTTAAAAAAAAAAGATGATATACGGTATGCTAATATTGCATCTTACATTGATTCTGAAATTATTTCTGGAGATAGGAAACAACTGTGATTTTTTAAAAGGAGCTTGTCCTGAAAATAGCAGTATTTTTTTTAAAAAACCAACTCATTATATTGTGCTTATTTACACACTTTCGTTAATATTTGGTATAACTTCTATATTAAAGAGATTACAAAGTTTTTTCCCCTTCCTCTAAAATTATATCTGATTAGGTAGTAATTTAGCTCTGTTTCAGGTGTCATTTATTATTTGTTTTGCTGGTAGCTAAATAGTTTCAAAAAAACTGAAAATATTAGATACCACATAGATTTATTAGCTATATTAGGTTCTTCCGAATTTTGTGTAAGTCCCTCTCCAACAAGCCTTGTACAGTGTGCATCCTTATTTATTTTTTCATTTTCTTATTCAAATATCCATCTTCTAATCTGCAGCTGTTGTTCATGGATTTTTTTTTTATTCTTTTAATAGTAACTTTCTCAAATTGTGACAGGAGTTACATCTTGCATATGCAGGATTCAGTTGAGTTTTCATGATTTCAGTTGCATGTTAAATATTAGAAAAGCATGTTTATAAAAGGATAATATCTAGCATAAAATTATTAAAATGACTATTGGTACTATATGCTAAGAAAATGAGCAGAATTGGCTTTAAATGGTAAAGTATGAATGGCTAGACAGTGGTACAGCTAACTAAAACCCACCTCCATCTGATTATAACTTTATCATGCGTACAACTAACATTTCTTTTTTCCCTGATTGTCCTTTAGTAGTCTAAGCTACTCAGGATGGCAAACTTTTTCTATACAATAAAGCAGCGTTCCCCAACCTTTTGGGCACCGGGGACCCGTTCTGTGGAGAGAGGTTTTTCCATGGACCAGAGGGGGTGTGGTTTCATTTACTGCCTGCATCTGTCACATGGGGCTTTGTACGACCTGGTTGCTGGCATGCTGTGGCCCGGTGCCAGTCCACAGACCGGGGGTTGGGGACCCCTGCAATAAAGGACCAGGTCTTGCCCCTCCGCTCCCTCTGCAGGCACAGTTGGCAGGTCTGTAGACCATGGAGCACAGCAGCCATTGGATGGCATTGGCCTACAAGCAAGAAAGTTGCTGATAGACTACCACCAGGCACCCTGTGCCCCTTCCCTTCAACCCGAGGTAGCTTGACAGAATCAGGAAACAGGAAGAGGACTGGATTTGGCCCATGGGATGTAGTTTGCTGACCCCTGCTTTAAACTGATTTAACATTCCTGGGAAAGGAGGAAAAAAAACTTTGATTTAGATAGACAGACAATTAGCTTTTCTACCATATAGGAAGATGGGGAAAGCAGTTTGGAGAGGTATAGTAGCCAACTCTGGAATGCAATCTCTAGATAACAAAATGAAGCTTCTGTACCTAGGGACAATTGAGTTTCCTCTGTGCCAAATGTTTAAGACAGAATACTACAGCAACCATCATTTCCCCTTAATACACTAATATCTTTGATTAAGATGTAACATTTGCTACTGCCTTTGTCATCTGCCCTTCTCTGGGTAATTATGATGGAGTGGGGAAGCCAGAGTTCCTGTAAAGCTTTGGAATCCAGTCTTGCTACAGTATTTTGACTGAGACTTGTTCCCTGCTCAGCTATTTTACAATAACTAAGTACTGTACTGTACATGAGTTTGTACCACCACTTCTTCTCTTGCCCTTTCTCATTGAACAAGAGCTAAATGTTAGTTGTAAGGCAACTGAAGAAATTTGAGTCCTTTCCACACATGCCTTAAATCAGTCCAGGGCTATAACCATTTCGCAGTTTCTTTTTTTAAAAAAAGTTTCTGTTTTTCTACCGTATTTTTGGGAAGGCTGAAATTTTCTCTTGCATTTTTCTGGGTTGCATTGTTATTGCTGGTCATGATAAAGGAACGGCTGATTTCCATTACCCCTGAAGTCTCCTGGCTGGCTGCTCAATCAATTTCCCAATCTGAAGAGGCACATTTCTGTTAAAATGTAATTAACCAAACAGTAATCAGAAAAGCTACATATCACTGTAAAGACAATTTACTATGAAAGTAATAGTAATAGTAGTAAAGTTGGAAGGGACCTTGGAGGTCATCTAGTCCAACCCCCTGCTCGGGCAGGAAACCCTACACCATTTCGGATAAATGGCTGTCCAGTCTCTTCTTAAAAACTTCCAGTGTTGGAGCATTTACTGCTTGTGGAGGCAAGCTGTTCCACTGGTTAATTGTTCTCACTGTCAGGAAGTTTCTCCATATTGTTATTCAGTAAGTGCAAGAATACCAATCTTCACTGACAGAACTTTCACTAAACTTTTTTTTCTCCTTTGAAATGAAATTCTCTTTTCCATCAAACTGAATGAGATCTAGCTGAAAGAATGAAAGAACCTTTCTGCATGGCATTACTTAATTTTTGCTGCCCGTCTTTGAACCAGACGGTTCTCACCCTCCCCACCTTCCCTCTCTGCACCGTATGTGTGCTTTAAAAGCAAACAGATATTTGGCGTGCATTTTAGGTTTGAATATTGAGGGCCCTGTATTTATTTTATGGAAATTTCTATTAAGTTATCAGGACAATTTTTGAGAATGTGTGCCTCACTTTTTGATGGATTACTATACCTTTAGAGATATCTGTCTCTTCTTCCTAGTGCTCCCCAGAAAAATGAATGGTTGACACCTTGCAAATAGTAAACCTCTTTTGCTGCGTAAAGTACATCTTGGCTTGTGAAATGGTGTAACATGGAAATTGTTATACTACACATGCATAAGTCTGACTCAATTTTCCAATAAGCAAGAGAGCTAATTTACTTCTAAGAGCTAAACACAAACCAGCAACTGTGGCTTTGCTATGTAGGAATGTTTTCTTTGCTTGAAGGGAAGTCATTCTTTATTTTTACAGGTTGGCATGACTAATCTTTTTCCTTCTCAGGTTACTGCACCTGGCAATCATCCACTGTATGCCATCTATCGCATTCTGCTGCATTGCCCAAATGCCCGTGGAGGTTTTGGAATTCCAGAATGATTTGTTCCAAGTAGGTGGCAAGAGACATGAAGAGGGATCAGGGTTCCTTCTGTTCTAGATGGAAGAGAGCAAGTTGCAGGGTGGCAATATCTAAGGCTGGAAGTTAAAGTGCTTTTGATGATAAATATTTTTGTCTATACTCTAAAGGTATTTTAAACATAAAGATCTATTCCGCTTAATGGCAACATTCTTTGAAAGTTTTGTTGTATTATTTCTTATGCCAAACACTCAGAAGTTAATGGTCTCCTTCATATAACAAAAACATTCTATTGTTTTGATTGTTTTAACATGTTTTTAGTATTTTGATTGTAGTATGTTTTTTGAATTGTAAGCCATCCAAAGTCATTGGGGAAATAAAGCTACGCAAAATCATTGGGGAAGTAAAGTAAAGTAAAAAAGTAAAGTAAAATAAAGTAAAGTGAAAAAGTAAAGTAAAGTAAAGTAACACAACAAGCAGGACTTCAGGATTAAAACTCAGGTCTAATTAAGGAGAGAAAATCCAGATGAGTACTGTGATGAGAATACTGCTTTGTAGGAGTAAAAAAAAATAAATGATTTGATGGCACACAATCAACAAAATATACAAAGGTGTCTCCATCAGCAAAACAATGTAAGACAGAATTGAAAGCTTGTATAGGGCCTTCGTTTTCCTCCAGAATTAATAATAAACCAACTAATAAATGTTTTCACCAGGATACTCAAAATTATTTAACCTATATTATTTAAGCTTGCATAGCTCCTTATTTTTTGCCTTATTTTTCTTCTTAAAAACAATATCTAAATACCAAAAATAGCTGACTGAGTCATAATCTGAATTTTATGATTTCTTAAATAGTTAATAACCCTTTTGTTAAAGATGATCATTATTATCTGAGCTATACTGACCACTGACCATTTGATAAATAAATTTTAGAACCAGTGCTAAATCTCACAGTTTCCTTTATTAATCCATCTATGAATTGCTTATCTTGATTTCTAGTATTATACAAGTATCATATTTATTTTAACAAGAAATAGAAAATACATTGTAAACACACAGATTCCAAGTTTCTTTAAATAACACAAGAAATGACTTTACAAGTCTGAGGCATTTGCTAACCTCTCATTTGTTGACAATTACAATAGCATATCAATGTAGAATAATTTAGTATGTAAACAGAACCAAAAATTAGAAAGAAAATCTGTTTTAGATCTCTGACACTTCCAAAATAAATCTTGATCATCAGTGTCCTCCTTTGCCTCATATTACAGTAGATAATAAGTTTTATGGTGATTTTGTTGTTTTTTTAAAAAAAACATAGAACACTAAAGAACTATCAGCCTTATTCATTATTTGGCTATTTAAAAGATTCTTATTCTGAATAGATTTTTCTGTCTTTTGCTAATCACAGGAAGGAATAAAGAATGAATTATGAGTATGGACACCTTCTAATCACTGGATATTCTATTAAGGGCCAACTTCTGGATTTAGAGGATTGTCTAGGCCAGAGTTCCCCAACCTTTCTACCTTTGTGGACCGGCGGAGGGGGGGGGAAGAGGGGATGGTTCTGCGCAAGTGGTGGGCAAGCATGTGCGCGCAGCTTCATTTGCATGAGTGGTGGGCATGTGCATCTGCCGCTCACGCAAATGGAGTGCGCACACAAACGTTTACCCACCACTTCTGTGGCCCAGTTTCAAATGATTCAAGGCCTGGTATTGGGCCACAGCCCAGGGGTTGGGAACCCCGAGCCTAGGCATTGCCTACCTTATTTTCAAGATCCTAAACCTTGCATCGCTGCTGAATTTTATATTTCTTGTTATGCAGTTAAAATCCACGTGAATCCAAGTTTGTTTATTAGATTTGTACGCATACCTGCCTTGCCTCTCCACTCCTCTCCAGCCCCACATTCCTCTTTTTTTTTTTTTTTTTTTTGCCATTTGCAGACACCACTTCACTTATCTGTGTATTTGGAGCAGTTCGAAGTGGTGAAAGCACTCATTCTGAAAGGGGTGAACACGGCATTGCAGGACCGCAATGGGAATACTGCTCTGCACTTGGCCTGTGAGCAGCAGAGTCTGGAATGTGTTGAGCTGTTGCTGCCTCTGAAGAAACCAGTTTCTGATATGCAGACTAGAAAAAGTCTACAAGATCTGCAGCTCCAGAACTGGCAAGGTAAAGGAGAGTGCGGAGTGATCACATTGGGTCTGATGAGTGCTAAAAGTCAGCGCTTAAATGCTTCACTTGTAACAAGTTTCTTGAGCTGTTTGGGTTTTATTTTATTTACTCCAGGCTTATCGTGTCTTCACATCAGCACCTTGAAAGGTAACCTACACTTGATGGCATTGCTGGTGCAGAATGGAGCTGACATTAATGTGCAGGTAAGTTAGGAACATCTAGCAGAGCTCCATCTCTGATGTGCTGTATATCAATTCTGAATTTTTTTTACTGAGTGGAAAATTCTGCACACTGGCAGAATTTAAAAGCTGGCTTTGTAAGAAGTATTGAGATGGCTAATACTAAATATGTAGAGAGTGCGACTGAAAAGATGGAAGAGGGGATAGAGAAAGGCTAATTCACCTATGTGACAGCCAGTTTGATATAGTGGATAAAGTATCAGGCTAGAAATTGGGAAACCATGAGCTCTAGTTTTGCCTTGGCACAAAACCAGCTGGGTGATTTGGGGCCAGTCACTTTCTCCCAGCTCTAGAAAGGAGTCAATGGCAAACCATTTCTGAAAATCCTTGCCAATTAAATTGCACTGAGAATTGGACACAAATGAATAAAAGGTAACAAAAAATGAGCTGTAGTTTTGCCTATCTTCCTTCCTTCCTTCTTTCTTTCTTTCTTTCTTTCTTTCTTTCTTTCTTTCTTTCTTTCTTTCTTTCTTTCTTTCTTTTTTTCCTTTGTGCAAGGATAGGATAACTTTTAAACTTACAGGATAAAACCTTCTTTAGAGTGAAATTTGGATTTAGTTAGTGATTACATGCCATCCACAGAAGATTGATTTTAGAAAGCTAAACAGGGTCATATCATGATATGTGGTTGGCTGGCTGTGGAGATGACTGGGAAGCAAACAAACAAATCAACAACAACAAAAGCATCCTGGAATAAAGCAATAACAAATCAATTCTGCATTGCTGCTAACCAAACGACACCCACATGATCATAGTCGCCAGGAGTCAATTTCAATTCCAAGGAGTCATGATCATCTCAGAATTATGTACAATCCTGCTTATTTGCTATTGGATGAGTGTGCAAATAGGAGTTCAGTGGAGCCTCCTGATTCAGTTTTTGCATCCTCAGGAAGAGAATGCCTGGCTTAGTTCTGACTTAGGAACTGCTATGCCACTGTGATCCCTACCATAGGTTCTTCTAGCTTGGAGCAATTTGCTTGAATCTCAGGTGTACCATGGCCCAGAAGGGAACTTTCTCCTTCTCTTACTTTGTTAGAATCTCTCAGGTGCACCATGGCCCAGAAAGGAACTTATTCTTATTTTGTTTGGAGTTGATTTTCATGTTGTCTTTTGTCAGAGCATGCACAATCTAATTGCACTAAGGTAACCCAGGAGTAAATACAGTAAACAATGGTCTGTATTAAATGGTGGTTTATATTACACTATCTACAAATATACACTAGAAACAAGATACATGTACATGGTCATTCAGCAAATTCCAATACACTGCAATTACAGCAGGGAACGGACAAGAGAGAAAGACTCCAATAAGGCCTTCCCTTTTATACTCAAGTTCTTAAAGGGATACAGACTCCTACTGAGTCATTCCTAACATTGCATCATTCATCTCATATTATGCAAGCTGGTTAGCTTCTAAATCATTACTTGACATCTTTTTTACTCAAAGACTAAGAAGTGGCAGGCTTTTGCACTAGGAAATCTAGGTTTCTTAAACTGCGTCTACCCAGAAAGGTACGTTCTTTGGAATTTTGCTCATGAGATCTTGTGAAATAACTGACCCCCATCTCTTGCTCTCTCAGGATGGCACAAGTGGAAAGACACCCCTACATCTGGCAGTGGAGAATCATGATGAGATGGCTGTGAGGCAACTCCTGCGATTGGGGGCCCAGGTGGATTCACAGATGTACAATGGCTGCACCCCACTGCACCTGGCTGTGGGCAGGAACGATGCTGCCATTGCTGCAATCCTCTGCCATTCGGGAGCAGATACCTTATTGCGGAATATGGAAAATGAGACAGCTCAAGATCTGGCAGATGGCAATAATGATGTGAGAGTTTCTCCTGGAATGACTTGCAATAGATCAGTCTCCATAGACAAGAGCCAAGTAATCTGAGCCAGTTATAGAATAAGAGGGGACATCATTTTAAGAGTGTGGAAGCCAACTTCAGTCTATCCACTTTCTAGAGGCAAGAAGCCATCCACAAAATGGAGTATTTAAATATTTGGCCTGTTAAAAGGGAGGTTAAGAATTGGAAAGGGGAACTGGTCATTTTTTTAGAATGTAATTTTGAGGCTAGAGGGTTTTAAAGCAGGGGCTAGTGACACCTATCTCTGAGAGGCTTTTCATTCCTAAACACCAACACCGAGGCCCCCAAAAATGGATAGTTGAAAAACGTCAACTTTGAGTTGTATTTGAATGGTTTTCAGAGCAGAAATAGAAGCAGTATCCTTTGTGGAAGGTTCCCAGTCCCCATGTTAATTGCAAAACTTCTCACCTTTAGAATGTGGCCATTTTGCTACAGAATTTCATCAGCACACTCTCAGGGTGCTGGGAAGCTAATTATAGCTGTGGGTTGCCTACTCCCGATCTGAAAGTAAGGCAGAGATACCAGTTGTGTCATGTAGTTCTTAAGTTTTAGCACATGATGTTTAACAAAGAGGCAAGAATTGGGAGTTCTGGTAACTGCAGTTGTCTCTTGTTTCCATGATACTCTTTGTATCTTTGATTTGCCAAGTTGCAGTTCCCATCCATCTGATCTTAATCTTAAAGGCTACGTGCAGGGAGGAGCTGCTAAACTGGCTAGTCTGCCTCTGGAATTGCCACTGCTTTGGCATCATGGCAGCTTCTTTAAGTTCCAAGCAACAACATAGGGCAGGATAGGCAGATTTCATCAAGTATGCTGCAGTGAATCAGGATGGTAACTGATGTCCTTCCTACATCAGGAAGATGAGGATCTAAGCAAAGCAGAGCTCCATATAGGTCAAAATGAGTACCAGATTTTACTCTGAAGCCAAATAATATTTGTCTTCATTATTAATATACAGGCAATTGATAAAAATGGAAATCAAAGGTCACTGGGCTCCCTTAGCTTACATATGCAGATTCATGTTGTGAAACCCAACCCAGTGCAGAGACCAGGGCCACTCTGGTGTCTTCTAAGAGAGAATGGTTAGAGTTCTGCATTGTACTTAAAAGAACTGGATTCCTGTCATTTCCAATGGTGACCTTTAGCTATTTGCTGTCATATTGCCTGACTTACCTCAGCTCCTAAGTAGTTTAGGAAAATAAAACATTAAAGCCTGATCCCTTTTAGTTAAAAAAAGGATATCAATGCTTAATGTTTGATGTTCTTGACATTTTAGAACAGGGCTCTTCAAACTTGGCAACTTTAAGACTTGTGGACTTCAACTCCCAGGCTGGCTGAGGAATTCTGGGAGTTGAAGTCCACAAGTCTTGAAGTTGCCAAGCTTGAAGAGCCCTGTCTTAGAAATATATTCTTCTTCTTTAATAAATAATAAAACTCATGGTCTTGATGTGAAGGAAGTTGCTAGATTATCATGAAAAAATATTTTTTAAAAAACAGAATATTTTTATACATTAGGATAGAATTCAAACTAGTGTCCTGGTCACATGTCTTACTTAATAACTGCCCCAAATTAACAACAACAATTTTTTAGGCTCTGTTGTGGCCATACGTTGAGGACTACCTAAGTACCTATAGTGATGAATTTAGCTTTGTTTGGGAAAGCTTTGGGTGTTCACATAGGTGATCTGTTCAGAGGTGTTTTCTTTCAGGAATATGTCTGTCCCCAAAACACGGAGAAAAGGATCACATATAGTAAATTACCTGTGAATATCCTGTTCTTCATAGGAAAAATATCACAAATTATCTTCCTGCATAATGGATAGAAGGGCTTAACCACAGAATTCAGTGCTCTTTCTGACCACACTTGATAGCTGACAATCTTTGCAAGCTGTTTGTGCTTTGGGTTTCTGTCCCTCACTGAAGTGATGATTAATTATGCACTGTCAAGTTATAGAATCAATGTCGACTCTTAGCAACCATAAAGATGGGTTTTCTCCATGTTAAAATGGCAATACTAGCTCTTTTATACACAACCTTCTTGACCGGTAACCGTATCATTATTTGGCTTTTGTTGACAGATCCTTACACTTTTGCCTTTTGATGACCTGAAGATCTCCGGAAAGCCTGTGATGTGCTCCAGCCGAACATCCTAACATCTAAAATGGAAAGTTAACCTTGTGAGGAAGATAACATTGCTGCTTGAGGCTGGCAGTGGCACAGCTGGCCACCAATGGCTATTCACTCTTTTGTTGTAATATGAGCCTTGGGACAACCATAGCCTTTTTTTGAGACTATGGAGCCAGTGTGAGAAAGGAAAATTGCCTTGTATGTTTTGACTTTAAATGCTGAATGAGAATGTGGAAATGCTGCCCTCTTTGAAGGGACACAAGGTTTGGATAAACTGGTCCAATGCTTGCTCTCCCAGGTTTATCTAAATTTGGAGAAATTCCTTAAGAATTGCATTCCAGATCATATTGTGAATAGATATTTCAGATTTCACTCTTTTTCCTTTTCTGCGGTTGATAGCCCTAGACTATGACAGGACATGTCAGGGGCTCTCTGTCTTGTGTCTACCCAAATAATCTCTTTTAAAGGTATTTTTTCTGCACTAAGTGCAGTTTTTCTACTCCTTTCTTCCCTAGCTAATTCAGCCTCCACTGTTGCTCAGGCTCCTAGTTGTAGTGTCTAGACACCAAATTTCCCCACATCTCCCTTTAGCTCTGACTTTGTCTCCCATGGAGGCAGGACAGAGTTGTCAGGACCAGAATGTTGTGTTGTTTCAGCTGGCAGCCTCTGGGATTGACAAAACATGAAAACTAAGCTCATGGGGACAAGTAGAGTTTAATCACTTTTGCCTTGGAAAAATTGATATTCTCAGGGTGAGAGCAAAGGTCAGTTATTGATCTACTCAATTTGCTAGTACTGCTGTAAAGGGAAGTGCCAACTTCTTAGATTATTTAGGTGGCTTTATGTAGACACTTGACCCTGCACTTTGAAACTGAGTATATAGTTAAATTTATGGAGTCATGAGTGGCTGTCATCCTTCCTTAGAGACTGAAAGTTCCCATTTTCCTCCTTTCTTTTGAACATAAGCTGCAAAAGATATGTTAATGAGTGGCATTTGGGCATTTTCCCCCCAGCTTTAATTGATGGAAGAAGCATTATCATAAATTGGAATTGTTTCCCACATCCTAAAGCTTTGCATTTAGTTGTCTTCAGTTTATGACTGGATACGCTCGCATCAAGCCATAGGTGCTTAAGATTTCCTTTGCATTTTAAATAGGCAGGTATTACTATCCTGAAAGGACTGCAGAACCACTGTGGGTTGGAAAGCCATGACCTGTCAAATCTTAAGCATTTGTTGGGAGACAGCACTGCCCTTGCTGATTGTGGCCTCCAATCTGCTAACACTTTACATAGATCATGCAAAGAAGTAGAGTTTCTAATATATAAACTTTAATCTGGAGCAGGGAAATTCCCAGTTCCCTCCCTCCTACTGTTTGCTACATGGGAGTGGCTGTCTGTAACTGTGGCAAATCCTGGATGGCGCAATGAACTGGGATGTCCCAGGGAGAGGCTTTTGGTTTTTCCTTTTTTTCCAGAGAAGAAACTATTTCCAAAAAAGAAATGGCAGTTTTACAAAATATTTTCTACCAAAGAGGTCCTTGATTTTTATATGCTTTTCTAACTTTAGAGCCTTGCTTCTTACTTTTTTTTCCCAGTCATTTTCTTTTTCACTTTTGTTTTTCAATGATAAAATAAAAGTTCTTAAAGTGAATAAGTATCCTGCTTTTATGTGTTGGTCTCTAGATGCATTTGGTTTTTTTTTTTTTTTTTTTCATTTTTGCTTTCCAGTGACAAAATAAGGTTCTTAAAGTGAATAAATATCCTGCTTTTATGTGTTGGTCTAGATGCATTTTCTTCATGTAATATATTCTTTATCTGGGAAAAATCTTTCAGCTGGAATTGCAAGGAAAAGTACAAGTCAGATTTAAACCCCAGTGTATGAAGAATCCCCCGCTATGAATTTCAGGGTCAGCTGGACTGGTGAAGAGAAAGTATTGCAACAGAAATAAACTGTTTTTTCAAATATGGCTCTGTAAGTTGCTTAGATCTAAGCTATGCTACCATCTTGTGGTTGATTGTAATGCTAGCTTCCTTTTGTGCTCGTCTCCCAACCACAAGTTGCAAGATTATACTATAAACGCACTTCAGTCAAAATATTCTGCTGTCTCAATGGATCTCTGCAGCTTTGTATGAGTAAAACAGACAAAATTAGAATGCTTGAGGAAATTAAAATCTAGATCTCTCTGTAAATGCTAATGGTTTAGTTCTCTGGTTGAAGCAGCAGTTCAACCTGTACTTATAGTGAGTAAATTTATATTCATAGAAATTAACATCACTGTGCATTTTGTGATCTAAGAGTAAATGACAGCTTATACACTGTATAAGTTCCTTGCCTGACCCAATGAAAAGAATTGTGTTCAGGAATGCCCAAAAGATAGATTGGATTCTACTGATAATCTCTAGATATTTGGGGATAAATTGACAGGGAGCAAATGCTGGTACAGTGGTTAAGGCATTAGGCTAGAACCTGGGAGACTGTAAGTTCTAGTCCAGCCTTGGGTACAAAGTCAGCTGGGTGACCTTGAACTGGTCACTTTCAGCTCTAGGAAGGAGCAAACCATTTCTGAAAAACCTTGCCAAGAAATCTGCAAGGATTTGTCCAGGCAGGGACAAATGTACTTGGGAGAGATTGTGTTCCTTAACTTATAAATTAAGTTATAACTTGTAGCATGGGACAGGGCTATTTGCAGAACCCCTCTCCCTGGTTGTTCCCTTCTTTCCTGTAGGATCTGAAAATCAAAGCACGCGCCAAGTTTTCTCAATTAAACAAGGCCATCAAATGGAGTGTAGGAAGCAGGCCATTTTGGTGTAGCACCTTTCCTTTAAACTCCATAACCCCCCTCCACCCCATCCCCCCCACCCTTGCCAAGATTAGAGTGGCTTCAACCCTGCCAGCCTTTCACAAAGCACTGAACACCTGAATTTGCTGTAAGGCAGAGTAGAAGTGTTAGACGGCCTGTGAAATCAGGTGTTATTGTGATGTTAAGTGCTTAATAGGATCGATTCTTGGTCACCAGAGTAGAGGTTTCTTGTGTTTTGTTGATACTGGGGTGATTTTTTAATATTATTTTAATGTATTATTATCTAGCATCTGATCTGTGAAAAGGGCAGCCATATATATTGATTTAATAAATTAATTAATATCTTCTTGCCTGTGCCTTTATTTTGCATGACTGTTCTGGCTTGTAGACTCCTGAGGTCAACTTAAAAACAAATTATATCCTGCAAAACTGGATTTTACCACTTGTGACTTGGAAGCTTTTTTACTTGGCTTTTTTAAAAAAATCATAACATTTTTGAAGATGAAGTAGCATCAATAAATAATTCAGGGATGTAAATATTGCTTCTGATGTTTATATTTTTACATTCTCCATATGACCTTATTTACAGCATTAGTTCATCTGAAAAATGGCTACTTGGGGGGGGGGAATAGCTAAACTCAAAGAGTCAGCATTAATGGCTCAGGGGAGAGAAGTAATAAGTAGAGTACTGCAGTTACCTAAATTTCACTTAAATGTAGGGAAGAACTTCATGAGAGTAAGATCTGTACAACAGTGGAATAGCTGTGGAGTCTCCATCTCTGGAAATTTTAAAGAGAAGACTAATAGCCACCTCTCATTGATGATTTAATTGATTTTCTAGCATAATGCAGAAAGTTAGACTACATGATCTTTGTAGGATGCTTCACTCACAGCAATGCATTTTACAGGACATTTTCTCTATATTTTGTACAGCCCTATTATGCTGCCATATAAACCACTTTTATACTGCATTTTCTATTTGTTCAATTTGTTAGAAAGATATGTACCTGTAGCAGGATCCACAATATATGGTAGCAGTCTCCAATTAATGATAATAAGAGACACCTAAGCAAACCAAGATTTCAAAAAACTTACTAACTGCATATTCTTAGTAAAGAGGTGAATCTCTCTGCTACATTTGAAAATCTTTGGTGTAATCTGACTCTGGGTGACTGCGACCTTTCATCCTGTGCACCAAACTGGAGGTGGAATATATAATAACCTACTCATTTTGGGAAATTCTTTCAGCCTCCACATAAGCATACTAGTAGAATGTCACTGCAAACATTTAGATTCCATTGTGACTCCCAAGAGATTGCCCACGTCTTATATCAGAAATGGCCCACACATTTTCACATGCCTACACATCGTTTTCTGGAACAGGAGACACATATCACTCTTTAACAGTAAAAACAGAAAAGTCTTTTATCCACCCATAGCCACAATAAAATATGTTCTTTCATGCATCCCAATAGCTCTTCTGCAGGTGATTGCTGGGGAAATCAACAGTCAGCTACTGTTAAGTAAAGATTGAGATCCCACACATTTGTTCTCACCATTATAATGCAGTATCAATTTAACTATGCATATAATGACAGCCAGGGAAGGCTGATAGATGCTAGAGACCAGCTTTTTTACAATGAATCCTTCCTGTATGGTTTAATTTACATTATTAGGTAGTATATGCCATTTATAAGATACTGAAAGCTTTGATAAATTTCAACAACTGTTTGGCTTAGGCAATGATCTGAAGATTGATTTAGGTACTAAATTTTCTCATACTTAAATATAAAAATTATCTAAAGTATAACATTAAAAGTACCCATCGCATTTAATCATGAAATATTGTCAGAATAGTTCTTTATCTGGAAAAGAAAACCTTCAGTGATGCTTTTATCCTTGTGGTCTTGATTTAACACTTGGATTATATTCTGCCTTTCCTATGATATTTTGTTCATGGTGCACATTCAAGTCGCATGGCTTCTGTATCTAGCACTGTTCAGTCAGCCAGGGAAGATCGTGTAGAAGAAAGATCAGAATAAAAAGAAAAATCTGCTGTCTGACAGGAGGGGGAATGGGGACTCCCCCAATGGATCTTACCAGCTCCCCATTTGTAGTCTGCTGTCAAAATGGATGAATGTTGACCATGCAATTCTGGACTGTTTTTAGAATTAAGGGAAGGTAATGATGGGAACAGTAACAGTTTATCTCATAAAGCAGGGGTCTTCAAACTCGGCCCTTTTATGACTCATGGACTTCAACTCCCAGAATTCCAGTGTGCCTGGCTGAGGAATTCTGGGAGTTGAAGTCCATGAGTCATAAAAGGACCGAGCTTGAAGACCCCTGTCTTAAAGATTTCCCACTCTCGTTCCCACCCATAACTTTCATAAAACATGATGAAATATTTCAGCTACATTTATTTGTAGTGCTCTTGCTCATCACCCGAAGCTTCCTGGAGGCCACAGCATACCAAGGGTTTAGTTGTGTGACTCCCAACTGTTCAGGTATTGCCCATTCCTGCTACAGTCTCACATGTGACAGGACCACTGTCTTCTGTATTCTCTCTTAACTAAGGCCAGCCAGGTTAGAAGCCTGTAAGCAAGCTAGTAACTGCTGCCCCTGATCAAAGCAACATTACTTGGCCATCTACAGCTTATTCAAAAGAAAGAGAATCCACAATATTTTTTAGCCTGGGAATGAAAATATTCAATTTCCCTGGGTTCAACAGCAGCCCTTGTTAGACGTTAGATCCTAACACCCGATAACTGGTAATGAGGAAGTTGTTGAAGATGAAAGAAGAGAGTATTGAAAAACTATGTCCACAGGCAATGCCAAATCACCATAGAAAGCTAAAGAACAAGTTGAGGAACTTAACACATCTTCCCAGGCTTTGTAGCCATGAAATAATGAGACATTTGTTACTTGGGGAAAAACAAAACTGTAACAAATCTAGACCAAATCTTAAAATTGCACTGACACAGAAAGATACATATTGTCAAGGCCATGTTTTTTTCAGTTGTAACATAGGGCTGTGAAAGCTAATTCATCAGAAAGGCTGCAGAAAGACAAATTGTGGTGTTGAAAAAAGTATTGCTTAGTGCTGAAAAAAGTATAGCTTGGAACAAATTGTTCAGTGTAACGTGAAATAAAACTACTCACTGGGAGCACCCTAAAAATGAAGCTTTATTTTGGACACATAATGAGAAGCCAGGAATAAGTAAAGAAGACCTGATGCTATAGGTATTTGCCCTGAGAAGAGAGGGCAAAGAATTAAATGTGATGTAAACTTTGCCCTTTACGTGGCTACCTGTGACATTGCCATGCAAGTAAGAAAGAATGTGATGTCCTAAATTATGTTCTGTTATTTTGGTTTCCTTGTGGTTAGGAAAGGATGGTTATGCCTGACTTTGGAAAATCAAAGACATTTTTATTTATTTTTAAAGGGAGACAGAAGAGTAACTACAGTAATCAGACATTCTCATTGAAGACACAAGCATAAGTTTACAGGAGCTCAGAAATACAATTATTGACTTAGAGACTTGGTAAAATAGATGCTTACTGGCCACCATAGAGCTAGGCTTTTCAACCAGTGGTACGGGTACCACCTGTGGTACATTGGCACCTGGCAGGTAGTATGCAACCATCCTAGAGTGGGGGAGAGGAATGAGCTGAACCGGTGGCAGCACCGCACAAGCTTGAGTAAAAGATGGCTGGTGCTGCAGGGCTATCAGGGCTCAGCGGAAGTGCCAGGATCAGTGCTGCTTTCCAGCTGATCGGCGCTTCTTCGGGCTGTCAGGGCTCAGTGGAAGTGCCAGGACCAGCACCAGGCTCCAGCTGGAGCTCAGTGCTGATCCTGGTGCTTCTGCTGAGCTCTGAAGAAGCACCAATCAGCTGGAAAGCAGCACTGATCCTGGCACTTCTGCTGAGCCCAGAAGAAGCGCCGATCAGCTGGAATGTTGCAGCATCTCCAAGGTCTTGTGATTTACATTCAGATGCTTGGCAACTGATTCATATGTATGACGGTCACAGTGTCCCAGGGTCATGTGAAATGACCAAAACCTGCTGCAACCACCCATCTGATGGGGGGAATAAAAACCAAACACCCCCCCCACCCCATCCCCGCTGCCAATCCTCAACAGAAATGTTCACAACAATGAAAACCTCGGAAAGGAGGAAGAGCGCCAATGGCTAGGCAGGCAGGTATCTTGCTCGGCCGTGGCTTGGGGGGCACTTTTTTCAGTGCCATTGTAACTTTGAACAGTCACTAAGCGAACTGTTGTAAGTTGAGGACTACCTATACTTTATCACTTTTTTCCTTTTTTGGGGGGGGGTCATCAAGTTTTTGACACTTTGCTAGGCGACTGGTGGTACTCAGATGTTGCCATATCCTAAAAGTGGTGCAACGGGTGAAAAGATTGAAAAGCCCTGCCATAGAGAGTCTGGAGCTCTCTATTGCTTAGTCAGGCTAAGCAGAATCGGAGAATATTGTATAGCAATAGCACTTCAAGTTCCTCTGGGGAAAAAAAGCAAGCGAAGGCCATAGCTATTACGTCAAATTAGTAGTGCATTTACTCTCACGGGTACCAGAAATGCTAAATATGAAACAAAATGAATTGAGGAGGCATAGAGGCAGATTGAACAGGGTGCAAAATCAGCCGGCCTTTCAAACCTGGACGGGCGACGTTATTTTCGCCCGCCGTCTTGCCATCGCGGACTTGCCCATTTGTGGGCATCCTTGGAACAAGGCAGCTCTTGCTTCTTGCAACGCGAGCACTCGGGGGGGGGGGAAACCTTGATTGGGAATCCCCCCCCCCGAGACGTACCGGGGGCTGTAAAACGGAAACGCTCCGCTCCTGCTCGGGGCCGCCTGTTCACTTTCCGTCTCAGTCGTGCCCGGCTTTCCATCCACTTGCCCTTCCCCTTCGGAACCGCGTCCCTTGCTGCGGCCTCCGGAACGGCAGGTGGCGCTGTGGGGAGCCGGACGAAGCGCCGCTTTTTGGCCTGTGGCGTCGGGACGGAGGCGCGGCCCTTTTCGAAGGACTTCGAGTGCTGGGAGCACCGCGCACCGGCCTCGCCGGCATCATGGGCCGCAGGTGGGCTGCTTTGGCGGGCGCGGGAGGAAGAGGGTCTTGGCGGGGGGGAGGAAGCTGCTGTGCCCCGGCGGGCGCACGGGGAAGCGCCGACCCACGCCGACAATCTGGAAAGCTCGGATCCGGCCGAGCAAGGAAGCCGGTGTTGGCGGGTCAAGAGGGGCGGAGGTGCCTTGGGGAGCAGAACAGGAGGCTTTTCAGACCATGGGCTCCTGCAAAAAACGCGGGATGCTTAGTTCATCTCCAACCCTGGGAGAATCTAATGGGGACTCTGACACTGGGAAGGCTGAGAGCAGTTCTGGTTGTGTGTGCGGTGTGGAGACCTTTCCATAGAAATTGGGCACTTTGGGATAGCATTTTTTCTTTCTTTCACCGGGAGATGGATAATAGCCATGGCTGGCGATTAAACTTTTTTTTCAGATTGGACGCGGGATGAAATCAGCATACAGTAGTAATGAATGGAGACTACAGAGTAGCGTTTGTTCAAGGTTGGCCTTTCAGTGTCATTTGATGAATAGCTGGGTAGATAATTGTACTATTAAACTGGACTGATCTGAAAGGCTCCTGCTGCATTTTAATATTTCATCTAATTGCAAATTACGTATTGTTCCTGACACCTTCTATCCTACTGAAAGCACAAGTAGGAACTTAGAAACAGAATGGATGGGCTGTAACATTTGAACAGGACAGTGGTTTGGATCCACATTAAGTAATTGCAAATACAGCCTGTGGAACAAGAATTTTAAATCTGGATAATTTAGGAGAAAAAATGTTCTGCTAATCTGGGTGTGCAAAGATGTGATTAAAGTGTATTTGTTATGTCTGTATAATTTAATGCATGATTACTAACAAATTTATTCATTGTTAGATTTACATATTAAACCTTTCTTCCAAAAGGTTTGCATGACGCTCAAAGTTGACAGTGTAATTTTTATTTTGCATATGTTCTGAGACTTAATCACTGATTTTCATTCAGTCCTCCATTTATTAGAGGAAAAAAACAGAGGATCACCTTTTCAAGGCCGTTTAGTTTTTAAAGGGATTTGAATCCAGTTTTTTCCTACCAAGGACTATAGTTTTATTGGATCGTACAAGCTTTATTTACATCTCATGGCTAACCTAGTGATCCTGTCCTCCAGTGAATTCAGTCACTTTTGATTGGTATCATATATTGTGTGCAACAATGGATTTTGTTGACTAGCAGCCAAGTTTTTAGTCCTTCCAGCCAAAAACAAAGAGAATTAGGAGGCAGTTACAACACTTACCACTTCCTGCCTCTCGTTTTTCTCCTTTGGAAGGGGGATGAACAACTTCTGTTGGCAACAGCAGCATCAGTGCCATTATTTAACAGGTTTTGGAATACCCATTTCTGTTTCCTTTTCACCTTCCCCCCTTCCAAGTGGCTGCTGGGATGAAATGGTTACAGAATTACATTGTTGTATAGAAAAGGTCTGTTTTTATAAGATCCCTCTTTCTTGTGATGCTGTATGTTGGAAGGGATAGTTAATCCTCATGTTAAACCCTAAACTTACTTATCCAGGGAATTGCCAGTAATCAAGAATAACTAAAAGGCAAAATGTTTCTATGTTGTGGGGAGGACTAGTTGACTGATGGGAATTAGTTTAGCCCCAAACAAGAATTGCTTTAGATAGAAAAAAAAATCTAGTCTTATCTGAATTTATTGGGTTAATTACCTGTGGTTTTGGAGTTTGTATAACTTATTTTCCCCACCCACCTCTGCCATCAATAGTTATGCCTGTTGTGCAAATGACGCTCAATGCCTTAGTACAACATTAGATCTGAAATATGTATATTTACAGAAACATAAAAACAGTCTCCCGCTAGATTTAACCATATTTGAATCTTACTTTCTTCACAAACAAGGCTGCAAAGCTGTTGGCAAATCCCCCAGTAAAAACAGATTAAAAATAAAAAGTCCTCTGAAATTATATAAACAAAACAACCAGTAGCAAAACACAAAATAAATTTGGTACCATGCGAACATACTTATAAAGAATATTGTGATCACTTGACATTTCACAGTCTAGTAGAGAAGGGAGAGGATGGTAGAGGAGAGAGAGGATGAACCTCTTTATGGAACATATTAGATCAGTGTTTCTCAACCTTGGCAATTTTAAGGCATGTGGACTTCAACTCCCAGAATTCCACAGCTGCTGGCTGTGGAATTCTGGGAGTTGAAGTCCACATGCCTTAAAATTGTCAAGGTTGAGAAACACTGTATTAGATAAATACAGTGCCAACCCTGAGAAGATTTGCTACTTCTATCCTTTTATCTAATAACTTATATTGAATGAAACTGAAAAACAAATTTCAATGTCATGAATATAAAGAAGATTCATTTTATATTATTATCGTCAGCCTGAATTAGTCCCCTGCAGGATGAAGCCATCTTCATTGAAGCTTATGGACATAATCTACTATGCTGATTCAGAGTAGCTTAGTAGAAAGATGTTTCTCAGCTTCCCCGTCTAAGACTGAAACAGAATCATCCAGCCAGCCTGCATGCATGCATGCTTAAGAGAAGACTAGAATCTGTGTCTCACTGTTCCTCGTCCAGCAACTTAACCACTGTACTATACAGGCCCTCACTTTACTTACACACACACACACACACACACACACACACACACACACACACACCATAAAATTAGCACACAGTTAAGTGGCCTGATTTATTAATATCAAAGTTTAGTTTGACGTGAATAGTGTGCTAGTTTTAGTAGTTAGTTTTTAGAACACTTGATACCGTGAATCAATCATGTTCAAGTTAACCTTCCAAATGTTATCCTTCCTTCGAATCTTGAATCTTCAGCATAATTCCTCTCATGCATATTCATGTTACCCATTAATATTTCATGATCTCCATATTATATATATTAACATCCAAAATACTCCTTACACACTCAGAACAAATTTGTGTGAGCGGGCTTTTGAAGTTATTTTTATTGTGGAACATCAAAGAAAGAAAATGTTTTGAAGAATAATTTTACTTAATATTTATAGGTTTTGCATTGGTGTTATATGTGTATATGTAAATTTATAGAACTATTCATTTTTGTTCTTGTTCACAGTACCCTCATTTTTATTGGTTCAGACACCACTTATTTTATTCCATAAATAAACTCTGGATTTCTCTATACTATAAAAATTAAGCAATACTAAATTGGCAACTGTATCCACTGTTACTTTTTATTGCAGCAATGAGAATTACATTTGGAGCTTATGAAATTTTGTGCTGTATTTTTAATATAAATTTAAACTATATTTTAGAGCTAGTCTTGGAAGTCAAATAAAAATTACATAACAGATTTCCATAATTCAGAGTCAAAGAATTCTCTTGGTTTGTGATGAAGTAAATAGTTAATTTTTTAAAATTTGATTGGAAACACTATAAGATCCTATATTTATACTCTGCATTAACCAATCTAGAGCAATAACTATAATGTACTATTTCACATAGAACCTAGTTAGACTATGAAATTTGCTTTCATTTAGTGATATCTGTCTACTTGTATGACTTTAACAAGGGAGACTAGGCAGATTGATGGCTACTATTAGTGAGGAGAATTGGGTATTATATCTTGGCTCTGAAATTCTGAGTAACTTTTCTGGAGAATGAGTAGAGAAGTAATTTAGTTATTTATTTATTTGCCAAATTTAGGCACCACCCATCTCACTCTCAGAAATAGCATGATGTTCAGGTTCTTTTTATGAGTGTCCCTGAAGCATATCTGTTTAAGAGAACAATATCATACTAAATAGCCTTCTGTCTAATCAAATCAAACTCTGATGTTTTTAATGTTCCAGTTTGATACTTGAACTCTTTAATGGAAACCAGACTTTACCTTTCATTCATATGTGTGTATTAATACAGAATTTATAAATCTTTTGCTATTCCTAAACTACTCTGACTCTTGTTCAAATTACATAAGAGATTAATAAAGCATCCCTAGAACTATAGTTACACAATGGCTGCTTAAGGACAAGGGATCATTTTTAGGATATTTTACTCTTTGCCTGGTTATTTGGCTTTGGCATTTGGAATTGGAGTCTATGAGGATTTGTTATCTCCTACATCAGTAGTTGCCTAAAGGGCTAAAATGGAAGAGACTGCCAGTTTTGTTACAAATATCCCTTGCCCTTAACTACTGGGGCATGAAAAGCATGCATATCCAATTAGATGGGAAACAGTACATGAATGTACGAGCTCAAGTTTTCCTGCTAAGTTTGTGGGTTAGAAATTTTGAAAGGTTCTTTCATGTCTAATGCTGAAACTGATGATGCCAGCCAGGCAGAAATAAGAGCTTACCTGTAACACTAACTGGTCTGTCGCAGAAAGCTGGAACAGAGAAACAGTATTGTAAATTTCATTAGCCAGGGAAGTCCGAGTCAGAGAACAAAAGAGAACCATTGTTTGGCTCTTTTATTCTGTGTGCTGAGAAACAGTAATTCTAGAATTCTTCTAGTAGTTTATACAGTGAGGGGGGGAAATTATTTGATCCCCTGCTGATTTTGTATGTTTGCCACTGAAAAAAAAAAGATCAGTCTATCATTGTAATGGTAGGTTTACTTTAACAGCGAGAGACAGAATAACAACAAAAAAAAAATAAAAAAAACGCATTTCAAAAAAGTTATAAATTGATTTGCATTTTAATGAGTGAAATAAGTATTTGATTCTCTAGCAATCAGCAAGATTTCTGGCTCCCAGATGTCTTTTATAGAGGTAACATGCTGAGATTAGGAGCACTCTCTTGAAGGGAACGCTTCTAATCTCAGCTTGTTACCTGTATAAAAGACACCTGTCCATGGAACCAATCAGATTCCAAACAGGCCACCATGGCAAAGAGCTGTCCAAGGATGTCAGGGACAAGATTGTAGACCTACAAAAGGCTGGAATGGGCTTCAAGCCTATCACTAAGCAGCTTGGTGAGAAGGTGACAACAATTGGTACGATTATTTGCAAATGGAAGAAACACAAAATAACTGTCACGCTACCCTGGTCTGGAGCTCCATGCAAGATCTCACCTCATGGAGTTTCAATGATCATGAGAACGGCGAGGAATCAGCCCAGAGCTACACGGGAGGATCTTGTCAATGATCTCAAGGCAGCTGGGACCATAGTCACCAAGAAAACAATTGGTGACACACTAGGCCATGAAAGACTGAAATCCTGTAGTGCCCGCAAGGTTCCCCTGCTCAAGAAAGCACATGTATAGGCCCGTCTGAAGTTTGCCAATGAATATCTGAATGGTTCAGAGGAGAAGTGGGTGAAAGTGTTGTGGTCAGATGAGACCAAAATCGATCTCTTTGGTATCAACTTAATTTGCTGTGTTTGGAGGAAGAGGAATGCTGCTATGATGACCCAAGAACATCATTCCCACCATCAAACATGGAGGTGGAAACATTATGCTTTGGGGGTGTTTTTTCTGCTAGGGGGCCAGGACAACTTCACCGCATGTATCCTCAAATCTTGGGTGAGAACCTCCTTCCCTCAGCCAGGGCATTGAAAATGAGTTGTGGATTATTATTCCAGCATAACAATGACCCAAAACACACGACCAAGGTAACAAAAGAGTGGCTCAAGAAGAAGCACATTAATGTCCTGGAGTAGCCTAGCCAGTCTCCAGACCTTAATCCCATAGAAAATCTGTGGAGGGAGCTGAAGATTCGAGCTGCCAAACATCTGCCAAGAAACCTTAATGACTTAGAGATCTGCAAAGAGAAATAAGACAAAATCCCTCCTGATTGTGTGCCAGACCTGAATGCAAAAGTCTTATTGCATCTAGGATTGAAAAAGGAGAAACCCTGGGTTGGGTAGTCTTGTGCACCAGTTGTGCCCATTCTTGGATTGGTGGGATCTACTCATGGTTACTCATAAATGAGTCTGTTCCTTCCTAGTCAGACTGTCCAGATACTGAGCTCAATGGTATTCCAGGTCAGTAAAATGAAACCTGACCTAACATTTGACTCCACATCAGATTGTGAAGTTTGCTGCCATAAGACATAGTAACAGCCCATAATTTTAATGGTATTAAAAGACAAATGCATGGAAAGCAAAGCCATCAATTACTGCTAATTATAATGTTTCTATATGGCTTCCAATGTCAGCTACTAATAACTGTTCATTTTGGGTTTTGGATGGCCTGAGTGGCAGGGATGCTATCTTGTGCTTGTGAGATTCCCATAAATATTTGGCTGGCCAGGACTGGAGCATATTTTTTGTGCCTGATGCACTGCACTTCTTAGATGTTTATATTATGTTCTTTCAACTTACTGTAGTGAATATGCAATGTATATTCGATACAGTGTTACAAATCCAAGACCATCTGTTTAAGTTCAGTGTCAAATAGGAAATTTAAATCATATTATCCCATAACCAGGCCCAATATTCTGTCAAGTAGACATTGATACAAACTAGAGTAATGTTAATGCATGCTTAATATTAGACACAAGCCTTATGCAATGTATCACAAAGGAGAAGAAATGCTGTGATGAATTATTGGAGTTTCACAGAGCGGCAAACACAGGTACCATCCAATCAATTGCTCTGTGGCAAGAACAATAAATTCTGCCAAATATTATTTACTTTTTAATAGCATTTATGTAAGCAGATCTCTGAAAATCTCTAGCCGCTCTATTATTTTCAACTATTATTCTGCTTGGGAACACATTTTGGCATGGCCCCTTGCCTTGCTCCAACCATCTTGAACACTTCCCTCCTTCTCCATTCACCGACACCATTCCTGTCTCTGGGTCCCTCTGTCTCTAGGGTCCAGGGAACCCTGCTCTCCCTGTTAGGGGGGGGGGCATCTCCAGTGTTTTCTGTCGTCGGGGTAGTGCTTACTCTTTTCAAGCCTCTCCAGAATGTTGGAATTTCAGGAGTTGCAAAATTATATTTTACGTTAAAAAACAAACAGAAATTTGAAGATGTCACCATTTTTCTAACAGTTACTTTTGCATTCTTGGATATCTTTGTGACAGAAAAACTAAATAATGCAAGAGATGTTGAAATTAACCTCACAGTGAAATGGGCTATAAATTCCTGTTGATATTTTCTCAAAACCATGTTTCTGTGGCATCCTTTTGCAACTTTTCTGTTAATGGGAAGAAAAGGGAAGTGCTATTGGAACGGTTGAAGGGCTGCGTTTTCATTCAGAGGCATAATCTGCTTTGAAAGCTCTTTCAGGAATTGGTACAGTAGTGGAGTAACTATGAGCAAGGCAGAAATTCTGTGCATGCTCAGAAACAAGCTGTTTCATTGAGGGAAATTGCTTCTGGGTGGTTGTTTATTCTGAACATTTATATTCCTGAAAAGAGGAGGGGAAGCAAACTACAACTCCAAGCCTTTATTGGGGGGGGGGTGGGGATGTAGAGATTTCAGGAGAAGACTCAAGACTGCCATGGCCAGCATTTTATCAATCATTAACCTTCACCCTGCTGTAAAATTCTCATCCGGATAGGTGCTAGTCAGTGAATGGGATGAACAAACAATAGAGGGCATTTGTACAGCCTTAATCTACTTACCCCTTTTGAATACAGTAATATTTGTTTTGGCTGGCCCATGATGCAGTTGCACAACAGAAAGATGTTACTCCCCTGCTATGTCTTAATTTCATTCTGACTTCTAAAAATACCTCACGATGATTTCCTCCAAAACTCATACACAAGTTGCTGAATCGTAAGTCCCAGAAATCCACACCAATACGCTCAACGGATGAGAGGTGATATGGTTTCAGTAGCACCCATACCAGGGGTAGGCAACCTTGGCTCTTTTTATGACTCGTGGACTTAAATTCCCAGAATTCCTGAGCCATCCACGAGTCATAAAAAGCCAAGGTTGCCTACCCCTGACCTATACAATTGTTTCATGAAAGAACCGATCATATTTTCCATTGTCCTTGAGAGGTAACTCCTAATACTTCCTCCCCCCCCCCTTCACTGACATGCCTGGAAATAGTGAGCTTTATGGTGAGGATTGTGCTTTTTTATTGTGATTCTCTACAGCTACTAATGTTGGCTTTGTAGGAAGGTCTTCTTACTTCCTGGATGATCTACTTGTCCCAGTAGGCATTGTTTAATGTGCAGATATGGCTGAGATGTGTGGCTGGAAGCTGCGAGCTGTTTTGAAATACTTATTTTGAAAATCTATTGGAAAAAAAGTGCACACAATTGTTAAGTGAATCCCTGCAATTCTTCATTTAGTAACATAGTTGTTAAGTGAATCTGGCTTTCCCATTGTCTTGTCAGGAGGCTGCAAAAAATTGACACTGCAACTGTCATAAACATGAGTCAATTGCCCAAGTGCCCGACTTTTGATCACGTGACCATGAGGATGCTGCAACGGTCGTGCCACTTTTTCTACAAGTACTATTATAACTTTGAACAGCCACTAAATGAGCTATAAGTTGTAAGTTGAGGACCACCTGTAATTGCTTTCCTAGTTTTGCCTAGGCCAGGGGTAGGCAAATGTTGGGAGGAATTCCCCCGTCCAGGCTCTTTCAGCCGGGATTCTTCTTAATAGCGCAGAGGAGGACAAATAGAACGTGAAGCCAGCTACCGGAAAGAGAGATTTAATCACGGAGATCAAAGTTGAGTGACAATTCAGCATGAATCCCCTGCTAGCTAGACAGAAGGTATAAAAAAATGAAGTTTTTATACCCTTTTGTGGTTTCCAAAATTGTCATTTTTGATTGGTGAGTTCGAATCCGTCTTCCCTGATTTGCTGGTCAGTGACTATTGTTGGGCAAATTTCCTTCCTAATCCTGCCTAAAAGGTGTTAATTACTTTATTGTTGTATATTTGTTAATCTTAATTGCAGCTAGCCAGTTCTCCATTCAGTGTGTGTTAAGTGTTTGCCATCCAGCCTCAGGCTGCTGCTGAATCAGGTTAGTTTTCTTATCACAACCTTGGCTCTTTTCTGACTCGTGGACTTCAACTCCCAGAATTCCTGAGCCAGCCATGCTGAGGGGAAAGGGAGAGGTTTCCAAGCTGAGCCATGCTGGCTCAGGAATTCTGGGAGTTGAAGTCCACGAATCATAAAAGTTGCCTACCCCTGGCTAGTAAAAGAGGAGAGGGATAGGGATGCAGACGAAGAAGACCTTGCATGTTCTCCCCTCAGGTGTTTAGGGAGATAATGTGGGTTTCCTTTGTCTTACTGCTAAATTGTTCTTCTCCGCAGGTTCTGCCTGTCTCTTGCGCTAACCGCTCTTCAAACGGTGGCTGCTGATGAAGGGGCACCCCTTGTTCACCAAGATTCCTGGGGCGATTTTTGGCTGTTACGGTTTTTGGTCAATGCTGCAGGCTATGCAAGCATCCTCGTGCCAGGTTTTTTGCTCATACAGTATTTTAAGAGGAAGAATTACCTTGAAACAGGTAAGTACCTATATAGGATACATCCCCTTCTATCGTTTTTATCAGCTAAGTATATAAAGCTGTTCGGGTACTGAACTGTTGGTTGGAATTGTTAGTGGGAAAGATAAAGGTGAATAAACCAAAACTGACTTGCAGGAAGACAGAAGCTCTTTGAATGGGTGACTTCCATGTACTCAATCCTCTCAGACAGCAAGTGTACCTCTTGACAGTTTCCTTTGAGTCTGCATTGTCCTTGGTAGATGTTATAAAAGTACCTTTTACTGCCTCCAGCTGGTTCACATATTATACTCTTTCTGGATAAGAGTTGATGTGGTGGCAGTATTCTATGCCTTACCATTGGATTGGTAATGCAAAATGTGAATGCTAGCTTGCCAAAATGGGCAAAATTCAGCCAGATGGAAATCTCATTAGAAAAATAGTAAAGGAGTGGCCTTGGTTGCCTGGTTTTTATTTTTTAGTTCTATTAAGATGCTCCCTGCACATTTAAATTAAGAGGAAAGTGTCCTCTTTTATAGTGTCCTATGCAAGGAATTCCCATCCAAATGTGTACTATGTTCTGAGCGCAATGACAATTTTATTGTCCAGTAATATCAGCTGTTATCTTTTTATTTTTTCAATTGTTTTATTATTATGTCCTGTGAGTAACATTCACTTTCTGCAATGTTGTGGAGAAGAGACATAGAATGTGAATTTGGCTTTCTATATCACCAGAAATAAAGAAAATGTATCTTGGCAGGAACAACTAACATGAGAAAATGAAAATAAAACTGCATTTACATGGATAGTGCTGTTAGGAATAAGTTTCTAATTAGCATTAATGAAAGGGGTGACGGCTTAGTGGTTAAAAATGCTGAGCTTGTCAGCTGGGTTCGAAACCTGAGCGCTGTGCAATGAGGTGAGCTCTTGTTACTTGCCCCAGCTTTTGCCCACCTAGCAGTTTGAAAGCATGCAAATGCAACTAGATAAATAGGTATCATTAAAGCATTAAAGTGGTAAAGCAGATAGTCATGCTGGCCACATGATCATGGAAATGTCTTTGGACAAGACTGGAAAGGGGAAATCTTTACCTTTAGCCATTGAGATAATTGATTGCTGTAGATAATTTTCTTTTTTCTTTTTCTTTCTTAGGCCGTGGAATTTGTTTTCCAGTAATCAAATCCTGTGTTTTTGGCAATGAGGCCAAATCAGTGCATCAGGATGATGCCATTTCAGCAGCTCGAAATGAGACTGTAGAGTCATCTACAGCCCGTCAGGTTTTTAAGCTGCTATTCTGTGCAACTGGCTTACAGGTAAAGAACAGATAGGCTTTAGATCACACGGTTTTGGGTCACCCAGTTTTGAGATTGACAGGAAATTGCAGATAGTTCTTTACTTACAACCCTAGAGCGTCTGCAAAAGATTCTCTGCAGAGTGAGCCAAGAAGGCAAGGAGGGCACAGTGTGAATGGGCAAAGGGAAGGAAGACATGGTGTGTATGGGAGTAAAGAAGGGTGCAGTGCAGGTTAGCGACGGATGTGGAGTGTGTCAATGACAGAGAGCAGTGTACTTGCAAAAAGGCTGCAGTTTGTGCAAAATGAAAAGAATAGAAGATCTGAGGCTTCCAGGGGAGGCTGCGGTTTGCACCACATCCTCAACTCACGTACGGCCTGGATCAGGCCATCCCCACCTCAGGGCATCCTGTGCTCCTTTCTTGGGACTCTGCTTACTGACCCATGATTCTCTCTGATCAATGGTAGGCAGAAGTGGTCACATGATATCTTGTTTGATGACTAATTTGCTTAACAACCAAGTTTCTAGTCCCAGTTGTGGCCCTAAATTAAGATTTACCTTTTTGAGAAAGCCAAGTACCAGTTTTGCAATGACAGAAGTTGGGAACAATATATGTTGCATGAAATGAACGTATAAATGTATAAAATGAACTTTACCACAAACTTTACTGCAAATTGTAGCAACGCTGATTTCTTCAGTTGGTAAAGGAACTTGACAGCGTAGTTAGCTCATAGGTGAATATATAGATGACGTAGGGTCCAAATACCAGTTAATTTTCATCTGTAGTGGAGATAACTGAGATAACCTAATGTAATGGAGATAATTTAATGTAATAAGATAATCCCAGCTATTGTTCTTTGTAAACTTAATTGTTTAGCATTATTTGGGAACCAGGGCATTATAGTTTATTGTACAAATCAGTTAAAATAATCAAATGATGTTATCATGATGTGTGCTAACCAAATTTTTCTTGAGTCAGTGATATATGCTGAATGCTAGGAAAACTTGTAGAAATTTGCAGTATCTAGAACCTAGAATCTTTAAGATTCCGTGAATTCACCTTTTACACAAATGCATAGACTATAACATTTCACCCAATCATTTTTAATTTAAACCTAAAGGTTTGGCTCACATAGATAAGCTATTGATATTTTAAAATAAGGTTCCCTAATTTTCTATTAGCAGGAGGTTATTTTTTTTTTTAATTATTGTAATTTCTTATGACCTCTTTTTGTCATTTTATACATGTGCAAAATGACAAGCAGGCTATTGGGTGTTGATAACTTTTTAAAAATGTGAGTTGCCTAATTGCCAATTCTTTTCTTTCCACTCCAGTCAGGACACACTGATAGCATCATAGTTGCCATGCTCTTGTCAGAGAAGTATTTTTTTATGAATACTTTAGATAAAATTAACAAAACGTGGTAATTTGCCTATGAGGCCTATATGATCAAATCTAGCTTTTAGCTTTCAGTTAGTGCTGATAAAGTGTTTACAAGCATTTATCTACCAACAGCCCATTTGTCTATCACTCTGGACAGATAAAGAGTTAGAAGATTCCACTCAGAATGTCAGATGGTTACCATGTGTCACTTCCTATCTGATAGTCGCTCTCCTAATCACCTTTCCTCCCTCTCACTTTGTAGATCTCCTATTTGACATGGGGTGTCCTCCAGGAGCGTGTCATGACCAGGTCATATGGAGCAAGTGACTCAGAGCCTGGAGAGAAGTTCAAAGATTCTCAGTTCCTCGTCTTCATGAACCGGATCCTGGCCTGTACTGTAGCTGGCCTCTGCTGTGCTCTGATCAAGCAGCCCCGTCATGGCGCTCCCATGTACAAGTATTCTTTTGCTTCCCTCTCCAACATTCTCAGCAGCTGGTGTCAATACGAAGCTCTCAAGTATATTAGTTTCCCCACACAAGTGCTAGCCAAAGCCTCCAAGGTGATTCCGGTCATGCTGATGGGCAAGTTGGTGTCACGCAAAAGCTACGAGTACTGGGAATATTTAACAGCAGCACTCATTTCAGTAGGGGTTAGCATGTTTTTGCTCTCTAGTGCCCACGACAAGCATGTCTCCACCGTCACTACCTTCTCTGGCGTGATCCTCCTCAGTGGCTACATTGCTTTTGACAGCTTCACTTCCAACTGGCAGGATGCCCTCTTCACCTATAAGATGTCCTCGGTGCAAATGATGTTTGGGGTGAATGTCTTTTCATGCCTGTTCACCGTGGGTTCGCTGCTGGAGCAAGGTGCCTTGATAGAATCAATACGCTTTATGGCACGGCATTCAGAGTTTGCTGCCCATGCTGTGCTTTTGTCAGTGTGTTCCGCTTTTGGACAGCTGTTCATTTTCTACACCATCAACCAATTTGGAGCAGCTGTCTTCACCATTATCATGACTCTACGCCAAGCCTTTGCCATCCTGCTTTCCTGTCTCATCTATGGCCATGCAGTCACTGTGATGGGTGGGCTGGGAGTAGCTGTGGTTTTCATAGCCCTTTTCCTCCGTGTCTATGCCCGCAGTCGCATGAAGAAGCGAGCAAAAAAAGTACCTGCTGGCGAGGGCATAGTACAGAAGGTTTAGGAGCTGCAGGAAAAGCTGTGCCCTCCCCACCAGATCCCAAGCATTTGCTTAACCCTGGTCATGAACTTTAAGTAAAGAGCTGGAAAAGAGGTGAAGCTTGATTAATTTTTCCCAGATGATTTTTTTTAAAAAAAAAATACTGGGTTGACTTGAAGGAAATGAAGGAGGGCTTCTTCTGACTGTTAACGTCTGAACAGTCTTCTCAAAACAAGTGGTACCACGATCCCTTCCTCAATGAACAGGGGGAGGTGAGCCTAATGGGCTAACCCTGGTTTGTGGTTTTATAAAAGATGGCTTATTTATGATCAGGGCAAAGTGAAGTTGATTTTGTACAGTTCCCATCCTGCTGTCTGAAAGGGAATATCAAGAATAAAACTTTGAAAAGTTCTAATCAGAACAAAATATCCAGACTTCACTATTGGAAGACCAATCCTAGCCCAGCTCCCACAGGAAATTTGGGACTTTTCTTACTGGGGGTAACCTTTTTCTATAATTGAGGGGGGAGGGGGGCTGCACTTAAAAAAAAAAAAGATTTCAGCCTGTAAGAGCCATAGGGACATGGCAATATTTTGGTACAGTCATGCCAGATGTTCACCTTTTATTTTTCAGCAAGATTTGAGGTAATGCTGAAGTACAAAATCAGCATTTAAAAATTTCATACCTGCTTTCTACCTTTTTTTGTATAATTAGATCAAATTAATTGGGATTGCATAATGGCAGCTGGAGCCATTTGCAGCCCACTTACTCCTATCCTACAGATTTTGATTTGTTGAAATAGTGAGCGCTTTCAAATCATTGCCTCTGCGTTTTCTAGTTTGGTATGCTCATAATTTTGCTGAAAAGTTTAGATAGTGCACCGTTTTTGCTTTTGTTGGTTCTTGCATTTTGCTAGCTGACAGTCAGCCATTCATCCATTTTCTTGGAACATTTTCCTGGGATTTATAATTGTAGCAAGCAGTTCAGAAAAGCACATCCATTATCTTTTTTTAAAGGTTGAACTTTTTGGTAGAGATTCAATTTTTTTTTTTCATTGTCCTTGACAAAGTGGTACAGCTGTACATCTTGACTTTGCAGAATTTGCTACAGCTTCGCAATTTACACAAGGAACCAGCAATACAAGACAAACAGGTCAGCCTTGTATTCTTCCAACAAGATGGCTTCCCTTGAAAACTGGAGTATTGCAGAGTTCTGGTATACACACCCTCATTTTACATAGTGCGCTCAGCATGTTGTAACTGTTGAGGGTGAGAACTTTGAATGTTGTTGCTCAAAGCAGTTCCCTGGTCTTTTTATCATTTTTGGAATTAAGAAACAGTAGCTCAGAGTTGTACAGGACAGGAGTGATGGATATGTCCAAACACAATTGCTCTGAAACCTCACTACAGCATTGGAGTTACTTTTCCAGTTCCACCTAGAATGTCTGGATTTTACCAATTTAACAATTTTAAACTGCCAAGCTGAAATTGTGCAGTGCAAATATTTCTTGAAATAAAACTATCTTATTTTATTAAATTCAAAATATGCAGCAAAGAAATGGCTCAGGCTATGTTTTGTAATCTGTAAATTATGTTGAGCATAGGGTAAAGCAAACTAGTCCCTTGCTTGGGAATTTTAACATTTCTTCACATCCTAAAATTGTGTGAACTAGTCCTTTAAATCCAAGAACAAATAAGAACAGGTAACTTCACACAACAGAGTTGTTATAAGCAGTAATTCCTAATTAACAGCGTGGATCTTTATGCACCCATTTGAGTAGAAGCTATTGTATGATGGGTAACCCAATACAGGAATTGAAAATGGTAGGGCTGCAGCCCATTCCATGTATTTTGTATGGAGAGTCTTAGACCAATAGATCAGCCTAAAAGATTGAGGTACTGATAAAACTTCTTGTGGAAGTGACACCTCTTCCCAAAGCCTAAAATAGGATGGTAATAACATTGGACCAGGGAACCAGCTAGAGATCCGCAAGTGGGAATCTATGAGTCAAAGAAGTAGATTAAATGCCCTCAAAGAAAGAAGGTAATAGTTGGTGCTCCAATTTTGGATATACACCATTTCGTTTTCAACCAAAACTCCATGTTTAGCAAGATGTATGGATCTCTTAGTGAATGGTAAATAGAAAGTGAGGTACCCTTGTCTATGCAGAGCTGGAGCTTTTTTTTCTTTGGGGCTAAAAGCCCTATTTAGTTTGTTTCCATAATAATCAAAGTACATTGGAAATTAGGGACTACAATACTTTGAGTCAGTTTTTGACTTCTGGTGACTGCCTGGACAAATCCCTGCAGCTTTTTTGGCAAGGTGTTTTGGAAATGCTTTTCCTTTGCCTCCTTCCTAGAGGGTGACTATTTTCAAATTCACCCAGGTCTCCCAGTTTCTAGCCTAATGCCTTAACTACAGTGGGGCAAAAAAGTATTTAGTCAGCCACCAGTTGTGCAAGTTCTCCCACTTAAAAAGATGAGAGAGGCCTGTAATTGTCATCATAGGTAGACCTCAACTATGAGAGACAAAATGAGAAAACAAATCCAGACAATCACATTGTCTGATTTGGAAAGAATTTATTTGCAAATTATGGTGGAAAATAAGTATTTCGTCACCTACAAACAAGATTTCTGGCTCTCACAGACCTGTAACTTCTTCTTTAAGAGGCTCCTCTGTCCTCCACTCAATACCTGTATTAATGGCACCTGTTTGAACTTGTTATCAGTATAAAAGACACCTGTCCACAACCTCAAACAGTCACACTCCAAACTCCACTATGGTGAAGACCAAAGAGCTGTCGAAGGACACCAGAAACAAAATTGTAGACCTGCACCAGGCTGGGAAGACTGAATCTGCAATAGGCAAGCAGCTTGGTGTGAAGAAATCAACTGTGGGAGCAATAATTAGAAAATGGAAAACATACAAGACCACTGATAATCTGATAATGATCTGGGGCTCCACGCAAGATCTCACCCTGTGGGGTCAACATGATCACAAGAACGGAGAGCAAAAATCCCAGAACCACACAGGGGGACCTAGTGAATGACCTGCAGAGAGCTGGGACCAACGTAACAAAGGCAACCATCAGTAACACATTACGCCACCAGGGACTCAGATCCTGCAGTGCCAGACATGTCCCCCTGCTTAAGCCAGTACATGTCCGGGCCCGTCTGAAGTTTGCTAGAGAGCATTTGGATGATCCAGAAGAGGATTGGGAGAATGTCCTATGGTCAGATGAAACCAAAGTAGAACTGTTTGGTAGAAACACAACTCAGTCGTGTTTGGAGGAGAGAGAATGCTGAGTTGCATCCAAAGAACATACCTACTGTGAAGCATGGGGGTGGCAACATCATGCTTTGGGGCTGTTTCTCTGCAAAGGGACCAGGATGACTGATCCGTGTACAGGAAAGAATGAATGGGGCCATGTATCGTAAGATTTTGAGTGCAAACCTCCTTCCATCAGCAAGGGCATTGAAGATGAAACGTGGCTGGGTCTTTCAGCATGACAATGATCCCAAACACACCGCCTGGGCAATGAAGGAGTGGCTTTGTAAGAAGCATTTCAAGGTCCTGGAGTGGCCTAGCCAGTCTCCAGATCTCAACCCCATAGAAAACCTTTGGAGGGAGTTGAAAGTCCGTGTTGCCCAGCGACAGCCCCAAAACATCACTGCTCTAGAGATCTGCATGGAGGAATGGGCCTACATACCAGCAACAGTGTGTGCCAACCTTGTGAAGACTTACAGGAAACATTTGACCTCTGTCATTGCCAACAAAGGATATATAACAAAGTATTGAGATGAACGTTTGATATTGACCAAATACTTATTTTCCACCATAATTTGCAAACAAATTCTTTCCAAATCAGACGTGATTGTCTGATTTGTCTCATTTTGTCTCTCATAGTTGAGGTCTACCTATGATGACAATTACAGGCCTCTCTCATCTTTTTAAGTGGGAGAACTTGCACAATACTTTTTTGCCCCACTGTACCTCAGCGAAGTGGCTCTGCATATCCAGAATTGACATGTGATTTCTGATCAGAGGTGTATTCTACAGTATAACATCCAGACTACAGCTGCTGTGGTTCTGTGCAAATATATGGAAGGAAAACTCAATAAAAACCCCACATGGAGTTGGTTAAGATCAGGATTTAAAGAAGAAACTGAAGGCTTGGTTCTAGTGGCTGAAGAGCAAGTTTTGAAAGCAAACATTCAATATATAACAACAGTAGCAAATGTCTCCTTTGTAGTGAAAAAGATGAAACAATTGACCATTTGATCAATGGCTGCAGCAAAATTTCACAAACTGACTAAAAGCATGTCATGACCAAGTTGCCAAAATCATTAGGAATATTGCCAGAGATTTGGATCTGAACGTAATAAAAACCACCGGAATCATCAAATTGAGAAAGTTTTAGAAAATGAGAAGGTTGAGATTTTATAAGACTTTAAGATCCGAACAGATAGGCATCTCGTTCATAACATGCTAACATAAGTTACTGGAAAAGAAGGAAGTCTTATTCATTGATGCTGTTGTAGCCCAAGATGCAAAAATTGAGGAAAAACAATTGGAAAACATTATACAAACTACAGGGGCTTGTAGGTCAAAGTTTAGTGCCTATGGAAAAGAAATCTCTTGTTATATCAATTGTGATCGGAGCCTTAGAGTAATACCTAAAGAACTCTCAATATCTGAAAGTATTGAATTTATTGGACCTGAATATCCTAATTTTACAAAAAATAACCCCACCCCATTCTGGTTGGAACTATTTATATTTTTAGGCCCCCATCTTAATAATTCTTAAGTTCTCATCTGCCTTAGACTATTAATTTAATTGTAGATTACCCACACATAGTAAAAACTGAAGAATCAAGATGCCTTATGGAAATAAAATAACATCAAGAATGTGCGTGAAGATCACAACAAATATCTAGGCATTCTTTAAGCTGACACACATTAAACTCACTGGAGGAAATAACATCAAGGCCATTATCACCTGGACAATTCCAGTCATTAGAAAAAAAACCCAGCTGGAATAGTAGACCAGACACAAGCAAAACTAAAAACCCCTGAATAGGAAGACAAGAAAAATAATGACAATAAAGTATGCCCTTCACCCATGCAGTGATGTTAGATTCTACTTGCCAAAGAAAATAGTTGGACATGGAATGTTGCAAGTACACCAGATGATTGAAAAAGAAAATAGTGCTTGGAAGAAAATTTGAAGTGCAGTGAAGAAGATGCACTGAAGCTAGTATACCATGAAGGCTGACTGAATACCAAAGAAACCAAACTGGCTTAGAAGAAAGAGCAAATGAACAACAGGAGAGACATGGCAAAGTAAAGTATTATATGGCCAATAAATTAAAAAATAGCAGGCAAAGCAGATAACAAGACCTGATAATGGCTAAGAGCAGTAACGTTGAAGGAGACGGGCTAATTCTGGCTTCATAAAACCAAGCCTTAAGAATAAATGCATGCAACAGTAGAAGAGTACATTTATGCTACCTCCGCAAAGAAGCTGAAGAAATAGTGCACCACTTAGCTAATTTTAAACAATGGCATGCCAAAGCAGCAATACTGATGCATTGGAACGTGCAAGAAATACCATTTCCCTGCAAGGAAGAACTGGTGGGACCACAAAATAGAAGTAATAGAAAATGAAGAAGCTACAGTGCCCTGGGGCTTTAGAATTCAAGCAGACAAGCATCTGCCACACAACACCCAAGACTTAACAACTGTTGATAAGGAAAAACACAAAACTCTTGATCGTGGACATTGAAGTGATAATTGTGGATGCTGACCTGAAGACAGCAGAATAGATGAGAAAGAACTGGACAAAATTCTAGCAGACAAAGACCTGCAAATAGAAGCAGCATGACTGTGGCAAAAGAAAGCAAAGATTGTACCAATAGTACTAGATACTAGATGTCTTGGGTGAAATCACAAAGCATCTGGAGCACCACTTGGAACACCATCAGCTTTAACAAATCACCATCAATCAAACGCAAAAGGCATCTTTATTTAGAACAGTTTACATCCTGCAACAATGCCTTTAACACCATCAAACATCTGCCACTCCTAGTTCCTTGATAACAAGGCGAAACCCAGTCTAAATATCTGGTTTTATTATGTGACCAACGGTAATAATGATGAAATCAATAACCTCATTTCATTGTAAACCATATTCTTCTTTATTTTAATTCCAGTAGAACAAAACCAAATACCAGTGAACAAATTGTAAGTCCCTGCTTTCCCAAGACAACAAAGAGCAGCGAGAGATTGGAGTGGGTGGGTGGGAGTCTCACTGCTATATTAGTGGGAAGGACATTCTCTGGGTGTTTACTTCAGCTACTGTGGGATGGATGTTTGGTGGTCAAGCTAAAGCTAGAATAAAATCTTCATGGACAGGAGAGCAAAAACCTTTGAACAATTAGACTGACCCTTCCCCCCCTAAAGCAGCATGTTTGAACAAGCAGACAGACCAAATAAATGTGGGAGGCTGCCTGCCACATTAGTTACCATTTATAAAAGACACAGAGACCATCTTGAGGG